TTGTCAGCACTTGTTGTTTGTTGATTTACTAATGATTGCCATTTTGGCAAGTATGAAATGATATCTCATTGTGGTTTTAATTTGCATTTCTCTGATGGCTAGTAATGTTGAACAATTTTTCATATGTTTATGGGTCACCTGTATGTCCTCCTTGGAGAAGTGTCTGTTCAAGTCCTTTGACCATTTTTTAATTGGATTGTTTGTTTTTCTGGTGTTGAGTCTATGAGTTCTTTATATATTTTGGAGATTAAACCTTTGTCCAATGTATTATTAGCAAATATATTCTCCCATACAGTCAATTCCTTTTTCATTTTGCTGGTGTTTTCTTTAGCAATGCAGAAGCTTCATAATCTGATGTAGTCCCATTTGTTTATTTTTTTCCTTGCCTTAGGAGATACATCAGCAAAAGTATTGTTACATGAGATATCTGAAATTTTACTGCCTATGTTTTCTGTTAGGATTTTTATGGTATCATGACCTATATTTGAGTCTCTCATTCATTTTGAATTTATTCTGTGTGGTATGGTGTGTGTTATGAGTTGGTGATTTAGTTTCATTTTTTTACATGTACCGGTCCAGTTCTCCAACACCATCTATTGAAGAGACAGTTTTTACTCCATTGTATACTCATGCCCTCTTTGTCAAATACTAATTGACCATAGAGACAAGGGTTTATTTCTGGGTTCTCTGTTCTATTCCACTGATCTGTGTGTCTGTTCTTATGCCAGTACCAGACTGTTTTAATTACAGTGACCTTGTAGTATAGTTTGATATCAGTTATTGTTATTCCTCCAACTTTCTTCTTCTTTCTCAAGGTTGCTGTGGCTATTTGGGGACTTTTTTAGTCCCATATAAACTTTTAGAGTATTTGTTCTAGACTTGTGAAATATACCATTGGTATTTTAATGAGAATTACGTTGAATTTATAGACTGCTTTGGGCAGTATAGACACTTTAATGATGTTAATTCTTTCAATCCATGAACACATTTATGCTTCCATTTATTTGTATTTTCCTCATTTCTTTCTTCAGTATTCTGTGCTTTTCCGAGTACAGGTCCTTTACCTCGTTGGTTAAATTGATACCTAGGTACTTTATTTTTGTTGTTGTTATTACTATGATAAATGGGGTTTCTATTTCTGATAGTTCATTGTTAGTGTACAAAAATGTCATTGTACATTGTACAATGCAATTTCTGAGTATTGACTTTGTATCCCTCTACTTTACCAAATTTGGTTATTAGAGTGGGTAGTTTTTTGATGACATCTATAGGATTTTTAATATACATTATCTTGTCATCTGTAAATAATGACAGTTTTACTTCCTCCTTTCCAGTTTGGATGCCTTTTACTACTTCTTTTCTGATATCTGTGGCTATAATTTTCAGTACTATGTTGAATAGGAGGAGTAAAAGTGGACACCCTTGTCTTGTTCCTGATCTTAAGCAAAATGCTTTTAATTTTTGCCCATTGAGTATGATGTTGACAGTAGGTTTCTTGTATATGGTCTTTATTATGTTGAGGTATGCTCCCTTTTTTCCCATTAGACTGTTTTTATCATAAATGGGCACTGGATTTTATCAAATGCTTTTCTCAGCATCTATTTATATGAACACTTGATTTTTGTCCTTTTGTTTATGTGATGTATTATATTTATTGATTTGTGAATATTGTATACCCTTGCATCCCTGGAATAAATCCCACTTGATCCTGGTATGTGATCTTTTTACTGTATTGCTGGATCTGGTTTGCCAATATTTTGTTCAGAATTTAGCATTTATGTTCATTGGAGATATTGGCCTGTGATTTTCTTTGTTGTGTCTTTACCTGGTTTTGGAATTAGGATAATACTGGCTTCATAAAAAAAACAGTTGGGAGCTTCCTTCTTCTTGAATTTTTTTGACTAGTTTGAGGATAAGTGTTAGTTCTTCTTTGAATATTTGGTAAAATTTGCCTGTGAAGCCATCTGGTCCATTGCTTTCATGTGTTGTCAGTTTTTTGATTACTGCTTCGATTTTGCTAGTAGTTATTAATCTGTCCAGGTTTTCTTCTTCCCAATTCAGTTTTGGAAGACTGTATGTTTTTAGAAATGTACCTGTTTTGCCCAGGTTGTCCAATTTCTTGGCATATAGTTTGTTCGTAGAAATTTCTTACCATCCTTGTTTTTTCTGTGATATCAGTTGTTACTTCTCTTTCATATCTGATTTTATTTACTTGGGTCCTCTCTCCTTTTTTTCCTGATGAGTCTGGTTAAAGGTGTGTCAATTTTCTTTATCTTTTTAAAGAACCAGTTCCCAGATTCATTGATCTTTTGATTTTTTTTTTTAGCCTCTCTTTTAATTCTGTTCTGATCTTGATTATTTCCTTCCTTCTACTCACTCTAATTCTTTTAGGTGTAGGGATAGGTTGTTTTTTTTGAGATTTTTCTATTTTCTTTAGGTAGGCCTATATTGCTATGAACTTCCCTCTTGGGACTGCTTTCTCTTGTGTCACATAGGTTTTGAGTTGTTGCGTGTTCATTTTCATTTGTTTCCAGGTACATTTTTATTTCTTCCTTGATCTCATTGTTAACCCATTCATTATTTAATACCATGTTATTCAGACTTCATGTTTTTGAGGTTTTTTTTTCTTGAAGTTGGTTTCTAGTTTCAAGCCATTGTGACGATGCTTGACATGATTTCATTTTTTAAAATTTGTTGAGGCTTTTTTACTACTTTTTTAAAAAATGGTGACAAAATGTACAAGACCTAACAGTTCAGTGGCACTTAGTATATTTATAGAACTTATTCATTCTCTTAAGCTATACCATTAAACAATGACCACCCCTCTCTGTCTCTCCCTCCTTACAGCTGGGCATTCTACTTTCTGTCTCTATGGATTTGACTACTTCTGGTACCTCATATAAGTGGAATCATACAATGCTTGTCCTTTTGAGTTGCTTATTTCATTTAGCATAATGTCTTTAAAGTTCATCCATATTGTGGCATGTTCCAGATTGTTATTCCTTTATCAAGCTGGATAATATTCCACTGTAAGCATGTTACACATTTTGTTTCTCTTTATACATTGATGGACATTTGGGTTGCCTGCACCTTTTGGGTATTGTGTATAATGCTACTGTGAACATTTGTATATACATTTTTTTGAGTCCCATCTTTCACTTGTTTTGGGCATATACTCAGACATGGAAACATTGTATCATATGATAATTCTATGTTTAATTTTTTGAGGAACCACCATACTGTTTTGCACAGTGGTTCTGCTTTGTTCTTGACCCCTGTTAAAACTGCCTGTGTTCACAATTGAAGAGGGTGAGATCAGGGATGAAACTGACTGAGGGGCTTCTGTCCTCTCAGGGATCTTTTTATTTTAAAAACTTTAAAAAAGTTGATAAATGATGCCTAGGCAAACAGCTCTCTTTCACTTCATGTTAATGAAGTCCTGAAAAAATAAAAGTGGCCCCATCGATACTGAGCCCTGGGAATTGTGGGATTTAAGCTTTTTGTGCCTAATGTCACAAGGGCTGTTAGGTAGAAGAATCCAACAACACGTCTTCTTCTCACTTCTCCCACAAGGTTAATGAGACATCACAAGAGACATGAGATTCACAAGTTTGTCTTAACTGTGGTGATACCCAGGTTTGGCCCTCAGATGTGATGAGGCCAGGTTCTGTGACATAGTTCCTCGAGGCATGAGCCTGGTGAGTAAACTCACTGATACTTGCATCCCAGGAAATACCACAGAGATTGCCTCACCCAGCTCTCCACCCCAAAGTCAGTGGTCCTCACCTTGAAGGTTACAGGTTGTTTCCTGCCTTGCACACGGAAAACTAAGTTCCGAAAGAACATTTCCTGTTTTCCAGACATTGTCGACTTATGTCAGCTACTCTAGTAGGACTTACATAGTGAGACTTGAGAATAATGTCCACCGTCAACTACAGACCAACTATCTTACTTCTCTAAAATGTATGTTTGCTTCATATTTAGTTGCCTGCAAGGACATCAGTCCCACCAGAAGCTTGGCCACCTCACCAACTGCATCTAACAACCCAGCCAGGACTTGAACTCACCTCATTTTAGTCCCTAGGAAAAGCTTGTTTAAAGAAACTGAACTAGAGAGGATTACCTAAAGGATATGCAGCCCCTCTTTTCTTCTTAGAAATTCCCAATATTTATCTATCCCTGGATTAAGCAGGACCATCAAAAAAGGAATTCCTGGTTGCTGACTCCTGACCCCTTGTGGAGCAGCTTACTGTCTTCCACTCAGGGTAGCCTCCTTTGAGTCATGTAACACTCAGCTCTACAGAGCTCACCATTGTGCAACCGATCCACTGTACATGGCACCTACTGTATATGAAGCCCTACAAAAGAAATTCCCCCTGGTCTCAGTACTAGGAGGAGTTGTTCTCTGAGCAGTTGGTTTGTTGTGATCCTTTAGGCTCGATTTCAAGTGTTAACCTCCTGTCAGTCTTCACCTTATTTTGTAAACATCTTATTTTTCTTTTTTTTTTCCTTGCCTCACTAAACTTTAGGTCACTGAATTATCTGAGTTTTTCTTAGCTATACAAATCCTTTAAGGAATAAATTGTGAGTATAAACATGAACCAGGTATTCTTAGCTGCTTTGAATGTTCACAAGACAAAATGTATATAAATTATTAGTTTTCAGAGAACTGGAATATAACCGATATAGTTGGCATCGAAACCACTACTATTCTGAATATGACTAAACTGTAGGTTCTGCACTGTCAGGGGCCTTGGCCATCTCTATCGCTCTGTATTTCCAGGTGCTAGTGCTGTGCTTAGGTGTAGAGATGCTCAGAAAATATTCCTTGAGAGTTCTGAACAAGCAGGATCTCAGTGTCTAAAGGTGACCACCATTACAGTCTGTCGATGCTCAGAAGCAAGAGAAGCTGTGATACTGTGGTGTTGCCTCCACCTTTGTCACACATGGGCGGGGACACAGCAGGCACTTCTAATGCTCTCCTGTCTCCCTCTCTGCAGACTCACATTTCCAGACTCCCTCCCGGTGCGGTGGCAGGACAGTCCGTGGCAATCGAAGGTGGGGTTTGCCGCTTGGAGAGCCCAGTGAACTGAACCTTCAGAATGAGCACGAAGCACCTGAGAGGCATTTCAGAACCTGAACTTTCTGGTGTTTTTAACTGAAGTTAGATGTTTTGTTGTCTTCATTTTATAATTCCTATTGCAACCTTGTGCACCACTGGTGACACTAGTGATGCTATAGTTAGTGCTTAGTGACACTCGGGCCTTTGTGGGTGAGTGAGACTGAATGAGTGTGTGTGCGCACATGCTTGCTTCTCCCTTGATGAAACAGAAACTTCTCCTTATTGTATAACTTAAGACCAGGAATGATTAAATCATATTTACAAAATGTGTGCTTTAACTGTTTACAAGTCAAACCTAAAGTTGCAGGAAACATTTTTTATTTCATAAAGAGGTACCAACTGTCGTTAATGTAATGTGTCTGAATTAAAGAGTAAATTAACTTGTTGAAGTGATTTGACAGTGGTAGTGCTCCATTTAATAACAGTAATGAGTAATAAAGTGTTTTTATTTGTTAACCAGTTTAAGTGGATACTGTGTAACTTAAACTGTTATTCTCATCCCTTATATGGGGCTTTTTTTTTTTTTTAACAGAGAATGGTTTCAGTGAAACAATCTAGCAGAGAATTAAGGTCAGAACCTTTTTAAAAAATAGTCTTATTGATAAAGTTTGTACTTCTTAAGCCTTTCTAAGCTTAAATATTGCATAGCTTCGAGCTGTATGTACTATATTATGAAAGAATATGTAAAGAGAACATACAGTAATGCACAGTCCCTAATTTGTGTATAATAGAATGTTATTTACAATGTAACACTGTAAATAAGAAAGCAAAATTTATTGGAAAATTCAATATTTGTTTCTTGTTTAAATATATTTTTAAGGTAAAAGCACGAAAATAAAAGAATCATATTACTGGGTATAGTGTGTGACTCCTCTTTTCAGACTAATAAATTACCTTTGAATCCTAGATTGGCAAGCCAATTTTAATTTTGTTTGTTAAAAAATTACTTCTTCTAGAATCATACCTTTGGCCTTCTTGCTGTGATTCTGATTATTCAAAATCCAGCCTTACGTTTGTGCAGTTAGGTTGGACACTAGCAAGGAAAAAGTTGAACTTAGTACGTGATTGAATGGTCAGTATAGAAATCCCTACAATATCTGTTGCAATTTGATAAAAATAACAATGGGAAGGAATAAGAATGCTTTGCTTTGAAAAATTATACTGGCAGTTGAAAACTCAAAGATGGCAGTTGATAAATGCTTCTAAATATTATATTTAGTGGTTCTGGAGCCACATGAGAAAACCAAGACTTTCCTTTTGATTTTCTGTGTAAGAAGTGGCTATCAAGAAGCTACTAAAGATAGACTTGCTCAGGGAGAGGAAGTTCCCTGCACAGTATAATCATGGCTCTGGGCGGTAACTGATAAAACCCTAGATGAAATTATATATTTGACATCGATATATGGCCAAATTATAAAGGAAAGACAACCAAAATGGAGTGAGTGTAAATAGGAATGATTTGGGAGTTGCTGACTTATATTCCTAGTACAGGCAATTACATTTGTCTCGCTGTGTTCTCTAGACAGGTTGGTGCCGGGGTATCTGTTTCTCATTCTTAATGAGGCTGAGAACTTAGTGAGAGATGGGCTGGCTGGTGGGGAGCCTTTGGCTTCAAAAGCTTTCAAAGACCTGTTACCTGTTGGCAGGGTTTTTTAAGGAACTGGACTGGATCACATAAAACTATCAGGACACTTTGGAGTCTGAAAAGTCATCTGACCTATTTCATCAGGAATGCCATGTCTTTCATCTCCCTTTGACTTTATTCTATTCATATTTAAAAGTTTGGGCTTGTTAAAGACCCCTTTTAAGAAAAGTTTAAAAACTGGTCAGTGTGAAGAAGAATGGCTCCATAATTGTTTGTTAAGACTTTATTCTCCAGTTTTTATTTTTTAAATTTTATTGTGAAACCAGGGAGAAAAAAAAAGGTGACATTCAGAATCACAAGGCAAAAAATGTTATGGGTAGTATGAGTTCATTATAGTATCAGATGTTAATGAACAGATTCTGTAACCATAGGATACTGGCAAATATAAAATCAACTTCATTTAACACAAAAGTAGAAAAGATAGAAACATATAAGAAAATGACCTCATGTCCTAGTCTGGCTTATATTACCAAGATTCTGAAATTATATTTTAAGATGTTCACTTTTAATGTGGAGGATCTTAGCTATATTGCCTATATTCTATTTCCTTTTAAGTCCTGAACATAGGATGTTTGGTTTTCTTGGGTATAATTAAGTCTGTTCTGGATTCATCAAGGTCATCACTGTGATCCTGCCTGGGGCCTGCAAGTGGTGTCTTTAAATTTGATGAGGGGGCAGAGGGGTCCTGGAGTGCCTGCGCTGGCTGGCGACACATGTGGCAGCCATGTCTAGGCTCTGTCCTGTCTTCACTAAGACAGGTGTTCTGCTTCCTATGTCTGCCTATGGCAGGCCCTGCCTCATCTTTTAACTGTGACTTTTAAGTATGAACTTGAACTCAGATATCAATGTCAGAATTATGTTCAAAGTACATATAAACAAGTCTGAAATGCTAAGTCTTAAGTGTTCGTCTGTGAGTAAAATGGAAGAGTTTTAGTTCATGGTTATGGTGATGTCTCTCTTGGCTGCTCAGAGCCTTTTGTGCCCAATTCCTCATTTTCTCCCATGTGTCAGAGTGGTGATGCTGCGTGCTGGTTAACTGCAGCTAAGCAAGGTTGCCCTGTTTGGAAGCATTGAATGGAGGGAGAGAAGAAGGGAAGATTTAGAAAAGTGCTAGAATTACTCTTGAACCTTGAGATTGTTTGGAATTTTTTAAATCTGGTCATTGTTATTATAAAAACAATTCATGCTTATTATAAGAAATCCAAAAAAGATAAGGAAAAAAATGAACTTGTAACCCCACTTCCCTAAAAACAGCAATTAGTAACACTTAAGTTTGTATCCTTATAGTTTCCTTTTTTTTTCTTGACCTCAATTCTTTTTATTTAGTGAAGCAAGTTTAAAAATCCTAAATGCCTGAAGGTAAGGGGATAGTTAAATTATCATGCATCACTGTCCTGGTATATTATAAATATTAGAAATTAGGTATACTAAGTTTTTTAACATGGATATGCTAATGCTGTGAATTTAATTTCAGAAACTGAAAATTTGAATACATATTGGTATTTTAAAAGCATACATAGAAATAATGTGTATTAATTATGCCAAAATATTAACACAGAAAAGGGCATGTAGAACTATAGGTGATTTTGTAAAATATTTCACTATACATTTATTTTCTAAGTTTTCTAGAATGAAACTTTTTAAAGTATTTTATTTTATTTTTTTATTGTTCAAGTATAGTTGTCTCAATTTTCCCACCACCACTCCCTCCCATCCCGCCCATCCCCACCTCCTACCTTGATCCTACACCCCCTTTGGCTTTGTCCATGGGTTTTTATACATGTTCCTTGATGACCCTCCCCCTTTTCCCTCTGTTATCCCTTCCCCCCTCCCTTCTGCTTACTGTCAGTTTGTTCTTTATTTCAATATCTCTGGTTATATTTTGCTTGCTTGTTTGTTTTATTGATTAGGTTCCACTTATAGGTGAGATTATATGGTATTTGTCTTTCACCAACTGGTTCTCCAGATCCATCCATGCTGTTGTGAAGGGTAGGAGCTCTTTCTTTCTGCTGCATTGTATTCCATTGTGTAAATGTACCATAGTTTTTTTTGATCCACTCATTTACTGATGGGCACTTAGGTTGCATCCAGCACTTGGCTATTGTAAATTGCACTTCTATGAACATTGGGGTACATAGGTTCTTTTGAATTGGTGTTTCAAGGTTCTTAGGGCATAATCACAGCAGTGGAATTGCCAGGTCAAAAGGCAGTTCCATTTTTAGTTTTCTGAGGAAATTCCATGCTGTTTTCCACAGTGGCTGCACTAGTCTGCATTCCCACCAACAATACACTACTAGGATTCCCTTCTCCCCACAACCTCGCTAGCACTTGTTGCTTATTGATTTGTTTATGATGACCATTCTCACATGTGTGAAGTGGTATCTCACTGTGGTTTTAATTTGCATCTCTCTGATGGTTAGTGATTCTGAGCATCCTTTCCTATGCCTCTGGGCCCTCTGTATGTCCTCCTTGGAGAAGTGTCTGTTCAGGTCCTTTGTCCATTTTTTAATTAGATTGTTTGTCTTCCTGGAATGGAGTTCCTTATAGATTCTTTATGCATAAATTTTCTGTGTGTTTTGAACACAAAATGGGGTTATATTGAACCCTCAAATGTAGTTATATAACCTTCAATTTTCGCTAAATAATATCATGGAGAGATGTCTAGACCTATAGGGTTATAGAATACCTCATTTGCTCCTTCTCTATGCAAGGCTGGTTCCACTAATGCTGTTGAATACATACGTTATCCTAAAACGTTTGTGAAAATCCATCACAGTCCTGACAGTACAGTCAGCATCCATTTTTTCAAGCCATAGATTCATACAGTGAGCACTATGGAAGGTCTTAGCTAATGAAAGCCAGTTTGGCAGGTGTCCAGGAACAGGCCATTGTCACTGCCTATGGGTCTTCTGTTTCAGAGGGCCCTGAATATCTGCACCTCTGAAGAGGTGATAGAAGCTGGTGTATAAAAATATTGCTCCCTTGCTCCTTGGGTGAGATAATTCTGAGATACGTGTTTCATACAGTTTTTGAGAGATTTTCCACATGAATTAAGCTCTAGTTACCTTCTGTAGTAGTTGACTGATTAATACACCTTGTATTAGCTTGTTTCTCTTCTTCATGCCCTTCTCAACTTTCCTACCTGTGTTTCCTGGAATATTATAAATATTAGAAATTAGGTAGCAGCTAGGAATGAGTGGCCAGAGAGAAAATAAAGGCAGGGCCCTCGCCATTACAATCTAACAGAGAACTTAACACAGGAGGCTAGAAGCAAAAGGAAGACATGTCTCACCACTTAACTCAGCATCCTGAGCTCAGTTTGATAAGATTGCCAGGTGTCCTGAGCATTGCAAGCAAAATAGCACAGGAGGAACAGGAGGGAGAGTCCTTAAGACTTTGCTGGGAAAGAAGGCTTCTGTAACAATCTTACTAAGATTGCCAGGTGTCCTGATCATCAGGAGGGCATCGTATAAGAAAGTAGGGGGAGCAGTAGTCCTTGAGATTCTATGCCTAGAAAGGGAGCTTTTGTAACAATTTCAGTAACTGAGACAAAGAGCCTTTACTAACTGAGAAGGAAAGCCTTTGTAGCTGTACATTATTCCCAAGAGGGAGAAGGAGGGGTGCCTGGAAGCTAGCTAAGGTATATAACTCAGTAGTCAGTGTACTTAGATTAGCTAGGTACCCACCTGTAGCCTCAGCTCAAGTGTATAGAATAAACTTATTAACAAACTAACAACTTCATTTCCTCTATATGTGGGTCATTTAGACTAGCCAGGTGCCTGCTTGCAGCTTTGTGCTCATATGTGCTTCATAAATAAACTTACTATCTCATTTCCACTATATGTGTTTATCTCTCAATGGAATTATTCTCTTGCAAGCAAGACAAGAACTGAGAATGGGGAGGGAGCCTCTTGAATTGAGTCTCTTTCTCCCCATCTGTAACAGAGTCATCTACCAAATGAACTACTTATACTTCACTCCTTGTTTCAGGGTTGCTTCTGGGGTACTTGAAACCAAGAAACTTTCTGTTCCATATTACCCTGGGCCACAAGTCTTTGGTCAGCCTTTCTACCCACTCCTACAGAGGGTGGACCCATCCGTGTGCTTGTACACAAGTCCTCTACTGGGTCCTTTCTTCCTACCTTGTGTTCCTGGTGAACCATTTTCATCACTAACATCTGACGAACATTCTCCAAGTGATAAGGCTAGAT